GAGTAGATTGTGTTTTTTTCGAAATTATTCTATCGCATGCCTAAGTGACAAAGGTTCCAAAGAAATAGTCTGTCCTGCACCGTTAATAGCAGTTTCGCCAAATTGCTGCAATATATCCACCAGGCTTTCGTTATAGTTTTAACCGCGATTTGCCAGCGATGTAGAATTATAGACCATTATTTACCTGTAAACATCATCTACCTATTGTCCCTATAATAGCGAAAAATTTCAACTAAATTGTTACGTGTCTATTTATAAGCCGTCCATCACGAGTCAATGAAAATATAGAATTGTGGCCCATTTATTGTTATGATCATTTTATTTGAACGACCAATGACTCTACTGTCGTAGAATAGCAAATGGATTCTAATCATTGCTACCGGTGTTTATAACGGATCATCTAAGTAACGTTTTAACGAATTTATTTAAGTTAAACGCCTGCATATACAAGCTTTCACCCACTCAATTTATTCTGCAGCGTCACTTATGTATACGCGAATAGGTCACTGCTTCATGTATATACCCGGAAAGACGCAACAAGAGCCTCTGGCTCCACCAATAGGTTGCTGTGTTCGCGTAATCGAAGGACACGTATCTCATAGTTTTATGAAGCCATGAGGTACTTTTAAATATAATGTATTTTATTTAGCAAGACTCCGCGGTGCTTGTATTACACTTCAAAAAATCAGCGCTATTTCAATTGGCCACATTCTTTCCTTTAGATAGTTTGAAACGGTAACATATGATTAATATTCCCTGTAGATCTCTCAGCTCCCATCATAAATGCATCTCCCAGCTTATGATACAGGTGCCGGCCATTTCGAATAGGATTCATATTTTATGACCAAAATTGTCATACGTTTCCTCCAGCTAATTTTTTGTACATAAATCTTGATTAGGGCCACTAAATTGTGCCTCGTCAAGATAGACTCTGACATTGCTCGGGCATCTTTCAGTTGGATTTTATTCATAACGTTATCGAAACTCTAGCTGTTTCCCTTATATAACTACCTATTGTTTGTTGTGATTTAACCTGATTGTGGAACTCTGAGGTTGTTTGTAAACATCAGCAGTTAAATTAGCCAGCATTTACTTAAGAACAGATATTGTATTCAATATAGTACGTTTATAAATAGTTCGTTCAATTCTAAGTAGCGTTTTTTTCCAGCAATCTAAAACGACCCTTTTTTCTGACAAAGTCTGCTCATTTTTTCTGACAGTATTGCCCAACTCGCCTTTATCATTTAGCATGACGCAAATCCATACGGTTTTCTGGATTGCGTAATGTGCGGTAGCATTGATCCGCCAGCCACGGAAGGGACCTTCTTTTTTACTACGCTGAGAATTCATTTCGTACTTAGAGTCTGCACTGTTGACACCGTTATTCTTCCGCCTCATAGATTTGCTAAAGGAATCCTAGGTAGGCTTAGCAAAGTCTTAGGAACATACCGAGAGGCAACTTTAAAGATTTGTTCGTAAAGGTAAGTAGCTGATGGTCGATTCGAACAAATACACTCAGGTTCGCAGGCTCGAAGCTGCCTTAATTGGGCCGGACGTTGGGCTAGTAGTTCACATGTTCATTGTCATCAATGATACGGTTCTTTTTATCTTTGCTCCTATTTTCCTTCACAGATCGAAACGTAACACGACGTTTACGTTAGTTATGTCAACTGACGACAAACGAGACGACACTTCCCGTTGGATATTACCGAAGTCCAACCGAAGCGAACGAGCAAGATCACGTGTTTGTTTTGTTATTGAGATTAAAAATTTTTTTTTACATATAAAAATATGCTTTGCGCTTAAAAATAAAAACGATCGCCACAACGAATAGTGATTCTTACCACAAATGTATTCATTTAAACACAGAATAATATAATTAATACAGGTTATAAAACCGTTGTTGAAAAACCTTCACGTTGCTATAATAGATGTCACAGATATGGTTTTTCTATTGTTGATGTTACACAATATTTGTCCTGCGAACGTGAAGTACACAATAGATTCTGTTTGATTTTTACCTGCAAAACTCGCTGGAGGGAGCATACGAGGCGCTGCTTACTGAGAATCGTGAAATGAGCTTCGTTGGTGCTGTTTCGAGACTTTGATCATTTTCGATATGATCTTTCTCTCTTCGCTTGGTTTCTCACAAAAGGGACGCTGTCTTCTTGGGTGTCGCTCAGTACGTCGCCATTGTCGTTCATATCTGCCTCGTTCATACGGTACCTGCTTGCTGCTTTTGAGGATCCACTGCTTAAGACCAAAAGAATTAGCAGAGTTCTGCCAGAGCTTGAAAATACAAACAAGAGAAAAATAGTACATTTAGAGTACGGAGCGTCATGCATTTGCTTGTACGGCGTACGCTGCAACCAAGAGCTGTGACTGTACTCGACGCTACTGCTGTAGAGGAAAACTATGTGACAGGGCATTTAGCTGTGAACTCGCGTCTAATGCGCGCTATGAAATGGTCGGCCCCGTCTTGCAGCAAAAAGCGTGTTCCGTAGCACTCTTTGTTATTAAGAATTTGCAGATCCTTATATTTCCCTCTCTACTTTCGGCGATCGCTGCTTAATAGGCGTTTGCGGTGGCGATAATGCTTCCGGTCTAGCTCAATAACCTGCCAGTATCGCCTAAGTTACTAGCTCCGGATAGTTTACGTGCATTGGCGAAAAGCAGGCCACATGTAGAGGGAACACCGACGCCTTTAACGATCAATAACGTAATGGTAAAAACCTAAAACAACGGTAGAAATACAATCTGTTCCTTCGGTCTGCCGATGGAGAATATATCAAAGTGTGCTACAGATAATTTTTCTTTTCAATGTAAAAGTATGTAAAAGATGGCGAGGCAATAACGTGTTTGTCTACTAACTTCAAGATACGTAAGGTGATCTAAATTCGAAAGCGGACATGGACCACTTCGTTCCGCGCTGGGTATTAGTTACCTGAGGTAACTTAAAGCCGAAGCATTTAAGAACGAGGTAGGATGCTGCGCGAGGAGAAATAAGTTAGAATATAGATGACATCCTGGATTAGTTAACACGTACTGTTAAGATTGTCTTTGCTATAATGTGAATGATTAAACCTATTTTCGCTGATCTTGTTATATGCATAAATAACTAAATAATAAATAGTGCATATGAGGATCGACAGTAGCCTGTTTGTTGGGGAACGGACTAAGATATGTTGTTGCGGAATAAGATAGGTTGTTAAGAAGGTAATGACCCATTCTGTATTATCGTCTCCTTTTTCTATTCTCTTTCTGACTAATACTTAGGTGTAGCCGACACTAATCCTTCAAAACTACTGCCATAATTTGGTTCGAATGAGACATTTTGAACTTTAAAAATGGGTATGCTGGATGAAAAAAAAAATAGCTTTTTCAACACTTCTTGATTTATCCGTTGCCGAGGTCAGGGAACTGCTAAATCATCTCTTGACAGTTGTAACCTGTACTGCAAAGATCCCGTCGCCGAGAGTAGTACTCATCTCTGTAATTCGTATTTTAGACAAAATGTTCTTATCTTAACGAGACGTTGACGACAAGAGAGTAAATAGAGATTTTTCCAATTGTACATAATACCTGAGGCAATTTTTTCTCAACGATCTAAGCTAATTTCTGTGTAGTGGTAAAACCTTTTGAAGCCGATATCCCAAGAGTGAACTATCGCATCTGCAACAAAATGTATAACATGCCATTTACGCTCTGAAAGTCCGGTCACATTATGCATCCTGATAAAGACTTGATCTGAAGGCGCCAAGTCAGTGTCTGATGAAGCATGCATGCCTAAAGTAGCATACAGAACCCTCCTATTATTAGGCCTTTTGTTAGAAAACAAATCCATTTAAAACGATGTAACATGTACTGAAGCTTTGTAAGACCAGTATAGAGTGCTAGATCACTGTTCTTGAGAAAATTGAGCCACAAAAAACAGTCAACTATAAGTCGAATTAACTGTAGATGCATCGGGACACAGTATTTGTACAAGTTTACTCCTAAAACGTTACGTCTTTAAATTCAGCAAGAGCTATAGAACCATTTAATTACCCTTTAAACATTGATTGATATTGCTCGAATTTTCGAAGTTGACAATTTCTGTCCCTTAATGTAACTCATTAAATTACAGATAAAAATTATATAGTTTAAACACGACGGGGAATGACAACGTCCAAGGCGTGTTTCTTAGCGCATTTGAATTTCGGCATTTCTTGTTCGGGTTACTTATAATTCATTACATATTATAGGGTTATAGACGCGTGGCTCGTTTATAAAAATAGTAAGCGCGGCGACAAAGTATCAGTTCGACGAAAAGCCCTAAAGGAGCTCGCCCAACTAGAGATTTTTACGGAAAGAATATAAATGATCCGTGAGGGATAGCTCTGACATAAACTGACGTCTAAAGAGAAGCACGAAGTCTGTCTTGAACATAGGTGTCAGCAGTCAAGACAGTCATGAAAATCTGGAAACGAGGCGCAAAAGATGACCTTGAACAGCACGAAGTACCTTCGGAATATATCACCTTGCCCTGTTGACCTTTTGTGTTCAATATTATCCTGCATACAGTATTGTTATATTTCACCATGCGATCACTTGACGAGCAGTCAACGTCAGTGACGGTCCAGTATGTATACATACATCTTATACGTATAGCACGTGTTGTACATTGCATTAGATAAGTATTGCCACATCCTTTGCCTCTTTCATAATACATAATAGCTAGTGTTAAGCAAAAAATAGAAAATGTTCAGTATGTTAAGCCCTAAAGCATGTTTTTACATTTCATCGGCACGCGGCGATTATCGAAGTCACTATAATGGAACATAAAATTAGCAACGCTTATATACAGAGATTATTATACTATGTTTCACGGATATGTCATTGATGATATATAGAATCATCGCTGCGGACCAGAAACGAGAAAAGTTGTTAGTACACACACTGAGGTACGCGTACCTAGTCGGCAGTAACTCCCGGCAGGTGGTAGACTTCTATAATAGTTTTGCTTTTATTGTGGACGGCTTCGCTGTCTTTTGCGTCATCTCCAAGAGCTAACGAAGTAAAGCGTTTGACAGATTTCGTCACAGACAAAAGAGCAAAATTACCTACAGCCGAATTTATTACAGGTGGAGAAGTTTTCAAAGGGATTTCGACGGCGGCTGAGACCTGAAATTACTTTCCATATCCTGAACAAATATTTGCTTGAAAACAAATCACCATACATAATCAGCTTGACAGTCCGTTCTTGGCGTGGAAGGTCCTCCAGTGCCCGGACAAGGTCAGGAGAAGTTTCTCGTGTCCTCCTGTTCCAATATTTCCCTTTGCATTAACAACTACCTGATCGTAAAAAAAGTGTGTCTCCGATTTGTAGTTCGCCATCGGGCGACCATATGGTATTAACCGTGGCTATCTTGTGGAGCTTCGCTGTTCCGAACCGATTCTTTCACCAGATCCTCTTCGGCGTTTTTCTACCCAAGCTTGTATTGCTCGTTGGAATCCTGTTTACGCGCACTCTCTTTATCATCATGGACCTATATGAAAGGCATGTGATTAAACGTTATTAGTGCTTTCAGCCTCGAGGTTGTGGACGCATTTACGACTTAATAGTAAATTGTTAGGGCATAGGTAGTTTGAACGAGTTGTTGTTTCTAACCAAACTTTATTTATAATTGGCGCATTTTCAAAATAAACGTAACTTTGGCGATTATGGAACTTCGACAACGAAACGTTCCGACGTCTTCAAAAGAAAGACACCGATAACTGTAAGAATGACAATGTTGTAGTGCAATGCAGTGATTTCTGTGAAGAACCCATCGAAATAGAATACATAATGCAATGTATAAAATCGCTTAAGGCTGGTACGAACGTTTTCGTCACATACACTAGTACTAAAAGAAATTGCATTACAGGAAAAAAATCAGATACAATTTTAATTGGCTGTTCTAAATTTGTTCGGACCAATCATCAGACTGCCTGGTAGAAATTGGATTCAGGCGATTCTCAGCCACATTTTGCACTTCATCGAAAGTAACGACGATACACCCGAACCTCATTTTCGAGCGCCGATGAGCACTGTTCCATCTGAAAAAGGCGATACAAAATGGACTCATTGTGATAACAATGGCAATTCTGCTGACCACCATCGAACGCGGCCTGTACGACGGCGGACCGTTTACACAAGATCCTCGTTATTGCGATCAACACGCCAGAGGAATCGACCTACAAGTTCAATAAACTCATAAATAAATTCAATATATGTGTACGATTTGGTACTCTTTCTTTTCTTTTCTGAAGATGCTGAAGACGGCCAATGTATTACCAAAATGCACCTGGATTATCCAGAAGTATTTTACAGAAGACTAAACGCCTCGGCAGTGATTTCGCCAATTGGCAATACGCAGCGTACGATCCGCCTCGTCGGAGCCTAAGGCGGCCACAGTCAAAACCATTATTTCCCTTTTGCATTTTTATTTCTTTGTAGTTTATAAACATAGACTATAAACAAAACTGAAAAAGATAATTTCTTAAATGTCATTACGATGTGGTGTAGGTCTACGCAGCTTTGTCTAGCATTAGTCCAGCCAATTTTCCAATCCAATGTAATTATTTAATGAATTGTCTGTTTCATGCAAGCGGAAAAAGCTTTACGCTCGCGGGGATATGTTCAAAAATTACTTAGGATCGGTCTAGTTTTAGTTTGTTGACCTTTATTGCTCAAAACGTCATTTTCTAGTTTGAAAATTTGTAAGACGTTTAACATTGCCACATTGGCTTGAGCACTTCCTAAACTTTCGTTCAACTAGCAATGTCAATGGAGTCAACTGATGCAGGGAGAGCATCCAGCATTTGTAGTGTACCGCCGTCGGAGGCAACACTCAAACTGTGACCGGGAAGCTCTGTAACGCGATAACTTATGAGCGTTAAATGGTTGCAGAAAGGACACGCGGAAGAATCGCCGAATCGAAGGTCCCATGCGCGCAAATTTCGTCACTTGCATTGTTTTAAACGGCCAGTCGATAAGGCCTCAAGAGCCGATTCAGCCATAATTTAGCTGGACATAACACTGGATTCCACCAAAGACTCAGAGCTTAACTGTTGAACAAGGGTATATATGTGTATAAAAAAAAATTTAGAAATCGGAAAATGGAAAGGCGTGAAATAGAAAAAGCAAACAGGAGATGGAGATATGGGCCTGCGAAAAGGGATGCAGGCTCCATTAGCACCGGTACACAAGGTCCCAATGGTGCCGATGAAACGTGGCGCGCCTATGTGCTAGTGTGCAGAAATATTTTCGCTACATAAATGATGCTAATGATAATTACCGATTATGTTCATACGGTTCATACTTGAACAACGAATGGGTATTTTAATAAAGACATGGTTCTGGTGTATAGCTTTAGTATTTATATCTAAAAGGCGAGGAATAGCAAAGTACGTGCCATCGAGTGTCGGAGCAATTGGCATACTATTGACTCACAAGCGTTTGCTATGACGTCTATTATTTACCTTATGCGCCTGTAGTACGTGTTACTATTCACGTTGGGCGCATTTGTAAAAAGGCGCTAAAACTTCTAAATCGCCAATGAACAAAAACGAAAAAATAATTTTCTGTAAATAAAAATTAATGTAATTAAAATTTCTGCGAATCGCTACCGTACTGTTTCTACCATGCAGCTGATGTAGGCCATAAAAGATCGCGCCGTTGTTTCTAGGAAGAGGACGAACGTTATGCTATATTTGAGTAAGATGGAGTCGTTGAGTAAATCCACGATGAGAATATACCCCCAAGCAAATTCATATATCTACAGACGCCTGCTCTGGAAGATTGCTCATCGCGTTTGCTGTTGATGTTTATCCAAACTGTCAGCGCTACTAAATAAGCTAAGATTCGAGGCAGAACAAATTTACTTACTAATACTACTATGTTTGAATGTGACTCGTTACTATCTAATAGGATGTTGCCTATCACCAAAAGTGGGCTAGTCCAAATAACTATTTCGCGGATATATTGAATGGATGTGATTGAAGCATATAGAATTTTGTCCTAATAGTGTCGGACAAAAAAGGCTTCGCCGCGTTTATCCACCATTAACGTGCTTTATGCATACTTCATATGGACGTAGTATAGAGTTGGCAAGCGTTCTTTTGCCAATCAGTCTATGAAATTTCGAACAACTATAAAATGATAAAATTTTGTTTCATTTTAATATGGTTGTCCCGATGAATCATTTAATGCAAACGCCTTGCTCTCTTTGTTTCAGGTAAGTGGGTTTTTTTCTTGACCGAGCATCACTACGTGTCTGCATCCTGGCATCACTCACGAACCCCGAAGATCTATTTGATTTTGAGTAGGTGTGAGCCAATCGATATGTAGTTACAGACAGGTAGAGGCCAATAGCTTACCGTTCTAGTGAAAACCGCTACGTAATTTACTGCATAGCGTGCAGGCTTAAGGTAGTTTGTAAGCGTATCTGGGTTTCCTTAAAAAGGCTTTCGAAAGAAGAGTTATTGCAGGATTTTGAATATGTTGCGAAGTCTTCCCCAACTTTTCGAGTAGTTGTATACGTTCGGTCTTGGTTTTGAGCTGTACTCTCACCGATCGTCGGATGCATGGGACACAGCCCCGCGTCTCTTCACCCGTAAATATGTTGAAAAGATTCCCAAATCCATCTTGATGAAGGTTATGAATAGTTCCACGACAATGTGGCTTCAAATATGTCGATTGTCACTTGCTCTGGTTTTGCAGACAGCAGCATCTTTTCCTTATACAAATGTTATTCTAGTACTTCATTGTGCTGCACTGCACTGACACTGGCTTAAATTAGTAACTCGCCTATAGACATTACGTATCATGCGAATGTTTGTCTTCAAACGCAGTTCTTCTCCATATAAAATGTACCTATAGCATTGATTACAATCATCCGCTTATAATTGAGCAGCATATTCAGGGAATAAACCCATCCTATAAATGATTTTTGCACTCGGTATCGATGAAACAGTTTCGTGACGAAGTTTTCTCCGACGAATACTCCGAAATTCGTACTTGCTCTCTAGTTGCGTCATTTACCAAGTGTATGGCATAATCCATGGCGTATATGAATTCAGACGCGTAACTCTGGCATTTCGTAAGACGCGTAAACTTGTCTTTCAGGTTAGGCAACGGATTCTATTAGGAATCAATACTTGCTGACGTTGTAGATATCTCGAGACATAACTTCAACTCGTATCTCGAACCATTCATTTGAAGCCGTGCTGTTTTTAGATAGACTTGCCATTGTACTATAGACTTGTATATATCTGTGGAACTTCACCGAATAATTGTTTCAATTTCCAAGTTAACTTTGGGTGTCTCTATTCACAAATTTTAGACAATAGTAGCCAAAAAAAGAATCTGTGCGTCTCGACTCGACCACAGATCTAGAAAGGAACTGCTATTTCGTCGAAAATTCCGTGGCCGTTAACGGAGCCTGAACTTAAAGATAAACATTTAATAAATGTTTATCTATAAGAGGTACTTTTGTTGGTTCGGTGAGCTTGAAACACTGCGACTTGTTCTCTCGTCATAGAGATCGTGGACAAACTTATAAAGTAATTAACATGTCTGATAGATATATATCTATATAAAGTACAATACGCCTAATACGAGCCGACAGAATGGCCCAAACGGACAATACAGTGGTCAGAGAGATAGCACAATTGGTAAGGTTGAACAGAAAAATTTACCAGTATAGCTGAATCCAGCTAGTGCTAATCCTGTACAACATATATCAAAATGTGCCAATCAAAACTAGAAATCCTACGATGACTACCGTAAAAGCCGTTGTAGGACGTCAATTGCAAAATGAATTTCCTAGTGCAGCAACAGCTGAGCTAGCTTAAAAAAGTGCGTTTCATAAAATATATGACTGAAGGAAATACTTTATCAAATTGTCTGTCCAAGCAAGGATTGCTGCACAGAGCCCTGCTGGCTTGTGACCTGTTTAAGTGCATAAAATTTGAGAGCAGAAAAATTCTGTAAAAAACTGGGATGAAATTTTTCACCTATTTAGGACCCTATACATCTTTTGTTGTGATGGCGACCGCTAATACCCTACCTAGAGACAGGTCGCGCATGAGGTCGAAATCGAAACGTAAATTATTTTTTTGCTGCACAGCTGCTTCTGAGTGCTTTTGGTAATTTTTCAATCAACTAATAGGCGGGTCGCAAGGGACAATTCTAACAAACGATGCTAGTTGCATATCTGATAGTACAGTAACTCCCGCATGCGACCTTGACAAACAGAGTTGACCCTAGTGCAGCTATAGCCTCATTTGCCTTTAGAAGCAGTTTCCATGTAATTAAATATTTTTGCCAAGAATCAACCTGCATCGCGCTTAAATATGTGAAGTAAAATTATGTATACAAACAGTAAGACACGATACGGTCGTTTAGCTGGGTAATTCATTGATTACTTTTACACCCTTATAGAAGCTGTTTGAATTTTGTTGTGGCCCCGGCAGCGGCGAACATTCGACGAAAGCAGTCGCTAAACTATGAAAATACCTACTAACTACGCATGTTCACTTTCATAGAATTTAGCCCAGGTAAGCATGAGAACCGTCATTGGGCTATGTTACCCTTAGCGCTTTCTTGAGCCCTTTAGTCATCAGGAAACAAAAAAGGTACTTGATTGGCCAACACATCTTTATCTCCTAATGCTTTTTACTATCTACCTGGTCACGCGAGACTAATCAGGAGCGACGGACTAGGCCGGAGGTGGTAATCAATCGATCAGCAGTCGAAGCTCAAGAGCAACGTGGGGATAGAACACAGTATCGGAATTACGTATTCATGTAGAAGACAAGCCAGCATATGCTGTATTCGACCACTATAAGCGAGTATATATAGCTAGTATTAGATGCCCAACAAGCCTCCAATAGTAGACCAGAATCGAATAGACATCAATATATACTATTTATGGAATTATTATTATTTATTTACTTTTATGCCGAATACAGTTTTTTCAATCATGCATCTGCTTGTTCGTAGCTAGACTGCGGAAGATTGTATATGTAGAGGAAAGGCAATCGTTTGTATAACTAATTGTAATCTTCATAATCTGTTAGTGTTGTCCTTGGGAAATCTGCAATAGGATATAGTAATTTCTTTCAATGATAAGCCTTTCAAAAATTACTCTAGCTCGAAAAATTTGTCTCAACTATCTATTTTTCTGCCAGTTTCTTCGAGGAAAGCACCTTTTTTATTTTT